TTTTCATAACACTAAAAAATCATGAAAAATACAAAAAAATAGATTTTTATTTTAATTTTTTTTTTTAAAATTATTTCTCACAAAAATATTTTTATTAACTATACTTTATTTATTTTTTTCCAAATCATCTTGTAAATTTAATTAAAACTAGGTTAGTATTTATTTTTCTTTTACACCTATTAAAATATATTTATTTATATATAAAAAAGGCGAAAAATATTTTATAATGCTATCAATATTTTCAAGACAAAAATACCAAAAAATACTTTTCTTAAACTTATTTTTTTTTTAATCAATTAATAGAACTAGGGTTTTATTTAAAATCTTTTCTTAATAAATTTAAGTTTAATTAATTATTTTCTTTAATTAATTAGGTTAAGACAAATTCCTTTTTCTCATGAAAACCAAACAAAGATCCATTTTCTTTATATTTTGCATTTTTGTATGTTTATTCATTTTGTACTTTGTATTTATTTATTTCCTTGTACATTGATACCAATTCAATCCGGTTATAATAGACTAACTAGGTTTACATTTTTGTAATCCCCATTCAATTTGTACACCCCCACCCACAAATGTTGTAATAGCGTAGTAACTTTAAATTCCGCAATTTATCACTTTTATACAAATGGTAATAATTATGGTTTGTATGGAAAGACTAAAACCAATACTTAGAAAACCCTAATTCAAGACAAAAACAAGCATGAAAACAATACACTTGCACACAACCACCCCTAGGGTTATTCTACTTGGTTGCCTTATACAAAATAGCCATATTATGCATGTGAGGTATCTTAGCAAAAACAAGCAAAATACAAGATCATAGTCCCTCAATGACGCTATCTAAGTTGTCTTTCATATGATCTTAGTCCCTAAAAATAATTCTAAGACACCTTGCAACATTGCTAATCATGGTTATACAATGACCCACGCCCGTCCCGTTTACATCCAAAGATAGGGTTACTTACCAAATCAATGGTAAGATAACAATGTCAAAGGAAAAGGAAATGAACAAGATAGACTTTTGGGTAGGTAGAATGTTCCTAATTACTTGCTCAATTTCAAACAAAACATCATTGATATTTTCAAAACAAACACCTACACTTTCAAACATCTTACAAAACATTTTCAAAAGATCAACACTTTGTATACATTCTTACGAACGAGAATCATTACAAAGTTTGCCTAAACAAAGGCCTCTTTATAAAATACTTTCAAAAAACCACACAAAACACAATTTCAAACAAAAGCAAGTGATCTAGCAAGTAACTAAGAGCCCATGGGAAACCATGGATGAAAAGGATACTAATACCTTCCCTTTTCATAATCTACCCCCTGAACTCAAGAAATAATCTCAAAGGTATTTCCTGTGCTTTTTCACCTTTCCTTTTGGATAAAAGAAAAGTCGGTGACGACTCTTGCTAACTGTAACATTTGCGATAAAACGCAAAACCCTCAAGTCAGTTCTCCCATCGTATCACACTTTGTATAAAAGGAATTTTTATTAATATCATATCCACTCTAAGTTATTATGTTACATTTAGGCTCATAGGACAACCACTTAATTGTATTAGAAGCATTATCATCATTAGCAATTTTTTCTTTAAACCACTAAGATGAACTCTTGATATGCTCTTTTAACAACCCTCTTTCATTCATCTTGGGATACTTTTTCTTTATGATGATTTTGTGACCAGATAAGTAAGGTTGAACTTCATCTGTGTTATTCAATATATACAAATGCGCTTGAACAACCACATCAATACTTAGGCTCTTGACCTTTAAAACTTGTGTACCCACGCCCTCACATCTTCCATCTTGACGATACTTGGGAACCCCTACAACATCCACTCCTGATAAATAGTTAGAATAAAACTCAATTTCTTCTTCTGCAATGTACCTCTCAATAATTGATGCTTCTGGACTGTGTGGTTTTTTTGTGTACCCTTTTAGGATCTTCATGTATCTCTCTATTGGATATATCCATCATAAAAAAATGGACCACATAATCTAATCTCCCTTACTAGATAACTGCAGCCTTGTTGTTTTGGTCCCGAAATCATCATCGATAGCATAATATATTTATGCTTCATGCGCAACCTAGGATATAAGTTGTAAATCATCAAGAGAACAAGCCAAGAAGTATGGTTAGTACTTAGATTACCAAATGGATTCATTCCATCAGTAGCAAGTCCAAGTCTAAGGTTTCTCGACTCTTTGCCAAAGCTTGGAAACAAAGAATCTATTTTCTTCCATTGCAAAGAATCAACTACATGGAGAATTTGTCCATCATAATTTCTTTCTTCTGCATGCCTTCTATGATTTTTTGCGTCGTTTACATTAGCGAGTATTCTCTTGAACCTTGAAATGACTGGTAGGTACCATACCACTTTCACGGGAGGACCCTTTTTGACCACCTCATCTTCACTAGAATCACCATCTTTCTTTTTGTAGTGTGACACCTTGCACTTTGGACAACGATTATAGTTTACGTACTCTTTTCGGTATAATATGCAGTCATTAGCGCATGCATGCATATTTTCATACTCCAAACCCATCGAACATAATATTTTCTTCGCCTTGTAATAACGAATTAGCATTATGTTACCTTCTGAAAGCATTTCTGTCAATAATTCAAGCAAATCGGTAAAACTTTTGTCAGTCCATCCGTTATTCACCTTCAGATTAAACAATTTTAATACGGCTGACAAACATGTAAAATTTGTGCATCCCAGGTACAAAAGTTTTTCCTTGTCACTGCATAAAGTATCATACGCATGTGCTCTCTTAAACAAATCTTGTCCAATATCACGCAACATGTCTTACAAACAATCATCCATATCGACATTAACATCATCTCTTTGGGACAAGTTTGAATTTGCTACTACTTCACCGTGCCATATCCATTGTGTATAACTTTGACAGATCCCTACACAGATTAGATGATCCATGATTTCTTTCTTACTAAGTTTTGGATCTTTATTTGCACAACAAACAAATGGACATAGTAAAAATTCCTTTACTCCATGTTCGTACTCACACTTAATCGATTAGCTCTCATCCAACTACGATTCATACCTATGTTCCGAAATTAATGAGTACATCGTTAAATCATCAAAAAAATATTTCTAATATACTTTTTTAATAATTAATGTTTTTTAACATTCTTTACTTGTTAGATCACTCCACAATGACTTAATATAGGAAACTCCGTCAAATAATATAGAATTAGAATATCTCCTGCTTAATTGTCCTTGAATGTTTCTAGTTTGGGTAGAAATATACATTTATAGGAAGTCCGGCGGGAGAGTAGCACTACTACAAAAATCTATAAGGGATTCTTTTAAACATAAAAATTGTAACATAACGTGATGTCGCGGGATTGAAACTTGATTGGTGGTTAGCATGCAAGATTAAATAAAACTAACCACCAAACCATCGTTAAAATATGTTCTAAAAAAATCGAAATACATGTTTACATATTAAACAAACTGACCACTCACAAATGGGTTAACATTAACATTTTAATTTGTTATAATTTAAATCCACTAGTAACAATAAATATGGATAAAATGTATTTTGTTCTAACAAAAAAAATGTAATTTGTTCTAAAACTTATTTAGATAAAATATAATATAAATCTGGATAACAGTAACAATAATGATAAATCTAACCTGTCAGAAACGGAGGGACGTCAGAGACGGCCAGAAACGGAAGAGTGCAACGGAGGAACGTCGGAGACGGTCGGAAACGGATCGATTGAGGATTGTTGATTCTGTATCTCACGTTTTCGGAGGGAGGGAGATGATGTCGACGACGGGGCGAGGGAGACGGAGGGACGTTGACGACGGGGGGACGTCGACAACGGAGGGAGGGTTTCGTGTGAGGCGGTTTCGGAGGGAGTTGCTCAAGAGAGTGGTAGCGGCGTTATGAACAACTGACTAGCATTATTAGGGTTTTGTTAACAAAGTTGGGTTTTTACATCAGTTGGATTAAAGGGCCCGATGTAAGGGCCACTCTTTTGCATCGGTTGGAATTTAGCCCGATGTAAGAGTCACTTTTTTTTAATAATAAAAATGTAACTTATTTACAAAACTGCCACCGTGTTTATCATTGGACTTTTTACATCGGGGTTAGTAAAGGCCCGATGTAAAATCCCTTATAAAACTTTTATTTTATTTACAAAACTGCCACCTTGTTATATTTTCTTCTAAATCACATATTTTTTATATCAGGGGAAATAAAAGTCTGATGTAAAATCTTTTGACAAATATTTTTTACATCATTTATTTTTTTACTTGGTGTAAGAATATTTTCTCAAATGTCATATTTTTAGTAGTGTTTATTAAAGAAGAGCGGACAAAAATTAAAGTGGAGGGTAGATGAGATTTTATTTTGTATGAAAAGTTAAAGAGATTGAAATATTGTATAGGAGAGTGAAACCGTGATATATTAGGGTGGATAGACCTGAAGGTGTGTGAGAAGGTAAAAGAGCTGAATATATTGGATAACTTGTTGGTAGATTATCATGGAGGTGTGACGGGTGATATTTGGAATTACAATTTGGTGCATATCTACAAATAAGAACACCCGTCTAGAAAACCTAAAAACCACACTCTTGAGAACCACACAGAACAAAGACACTAAAACCAAACTGAGAGTAGACTAGGTCGATATCAAAGAAGAGGGGAAACAGAAACAGTAATAGAAAGAGAAAAATAAAAGAAATAGTAAACGCAAAATGCAATACCTTCCCTGTCATGGGTTCTGTTTAGTTAGGGCAAGATTTAGGTTAACTTGGTTATCAATGAACTCATATGATTAATGTAACCACCCAAATAAATAAATAAAAATTACATTGAACTACAATAACAGAAACTGAAATTTTATTAAAGCAAAGAAAGAGAATAATTTTCATCAATACAAACAATCACAATACTCATGTTATTTTATTGAAATAACAAGTAACTATAACTATAATCTTCTATTATTAATTTTCTTTAACAATCTTGCATCTCAACATCAATATCCTTCACTTTCATCTTCACAGTTTCATCAATGCCGTTAACATGACCTATACTTGGCGTCGCAGCTTGTTCCTTGATCTTCTCATCAACAATATTACTGTGAAGCTTCAGTCTTTTACCGTCACCACCATGACTATTATCACAAGAAAAGTGTTGACTATCAAAAGTACTGATATCATAATTTCTCTTGCGGCATTTATGTGATCTTGGTGGCAAATATTTCGGTAAATAAATATTCGGGGTAGATGAAGCTGGTCGCGGAGGAATACCCTTGTTATCTTTTTTGTGTATTCTCATGTGCCCATTCAAACCGTTTTGGGATGGAAAAGCCTTCCTGCAAACATGACATTCATGTTTCTGTTTCTCAGCATTGTCATTCTGACATTGATCCGCTCTTAAATCTTGTGCGTGTTTATCATCAAAAGTATCATAATAAAAAGATGGATATTGAAAAGAACAATAAGGAATACTTTTCTTCCTCATGATGTTGTGTTTGTTATTTCTTAAAACTAATAGAGAGTGATGGGTAAGAGTGAGGGAATTATGAGGACATTTATAGTAAAATATATGACTGTTTATTTGACTAAGTCAAATTATTCTATATTTTTGAGAAGAGATTGTTTTTTGTAGAGATAATCTCGCATGCAGTGTTATGTAGAAAGATTTACAAATCTCTCTCAACCACTTGTATTTAGTTTTTAAACATATTTTTAATTATGAACAAACGGTTTCGTCCGATATTTAATCGAAATTGTAAATATATTTGCCGAAGTAATTTCAAACTTGTTATCCAACTAAATCTTCAAACTATTATGACATGCCAAATTAAATCTTTACAAAATTAAAGCACACACTTATAAGCTTGTGTATAATAAATTCAGTTTTTTTAACTTCATTGTAAACATTAAGAAGACAAATTATAAGCAGCGACATTTAGTAAAATAAATAACTTAAATAATTAATTTAAATTGAAATAAAAATGAAAATAAGTAGGACACAAAATGCCATTACATAAATGAAGGATTGCTCTTATATAAAAATTAAATAAAAATTGATATTTTCTAAGTTCAGTTATCTCATGTCCAGTTTTGTCACAATTGAAACACCTCTTCACTTCAGTACTGTATTCACTATTCTGATGATCAGATCTTCCACATTTATAACACACAAAATCAGCAGGAGCACCTCTCCCGCTTGGTCTCCTATCATCAATAGTTTTTTGTTTTCCTTTGTCAGTCGGAGCATTATAAGGCTTTCCACGATATGATTGATGTTTTCCTTTCTTTTCAATGACAATCTTGTAGTGAGCCTCACTATCTTCTTCATAAATCCTGCAAATGTTCACTAAATCTGGAAACTTACGGATCCGCTGATACCCAATTGTCCTCTTAATTTCCGAACGCGGTCCATTTTCAAACTTCACACACTTTGAGAATTCAGTAGTCTCTTCACTGTAATGAGGATAATAGTTCGCCAATTCGACGAATTTGGCAGCATAATCAGTTACCGATAAATTCCCTTGTTTCAGTTCCAGGTACTCAATCTCCTTCTTCCCACGGACATCCTCTGGGTAATACTTCACCAGGAATTCCATGCAAAACATATCCCAAGTGATAACCTCTCTCGTGCCTTCCAATCTCTGGCGAGTAGCAATCCACCAGTCATCAGGCTCTCGTGCCAGCATATGCATACCAAAACACACTTTCTGCACATCAGAACAGTCCACAACTCGAAAGATCCTCTCAATATCCTTGAGCCACTTTTGCGCTCCTTCAGGATCATGCTTCCCTTTAAACGTAGGTGGGTGATTCCTCTAGAAAGTTTCTAAAGCAATAACTTCATCGTTCCCACCAGCGTTAGGCTGATTATGCATTACCTGAGCCAACGCCTGTAATGCATTAACGAGCGCACCATTTCCTCTTCCATCCATTGCCCTGCTCACATCACAACATCAAACAACGGTTAGACAGATAAACATCGACAATATTCCACCATTACACTACACTAATGACTCAACAACCTGGTCGGACGGATGAACCTGCTCTGATACCAATTGTAACACTCTATTTCCCCATCGGTAATTTATATAATAATCAGAGTAAATTAATTTCTAAATAAACACCAATCAAATAGGAAGTCTTATACTTCGCCAATCATACATGCTCAAATTAGGATATGCAACACAAACCGTTTATTCAAAGATCTTAAACTTCAATGCATTTATTCGCAACGGAAAAACATCAAATAATTAATCATCTCGATCCTCCAACTGGAGTTATCATTATTACCCTTCATACGTCAGTATAATCATAAAATAATTCAAATAAAAGAGTAATGCAGGTTCATTCCTAATCATAACAAATGAATCACGCGAAACCCCAAAGTGTTACGTATCAGAGCAGACACCAACTCAATCTACACAACTGAAGAAACTCTTCAGCTAACCTTCGATCTCTAGCTACTTTGGATCATTTGCACGTTACCCACGTGGAGGCAACATTCAAACAGAAAGGGTGAGATATCATAACAATATAAGAGAAAGCATAATAATAATAATAATAAGCAGATAAGGTTCAAGCACATAATCAGCACATAACATACATTGTAACATAATACACACTTTCATCAATCTTCGCCAATCGGTTTATCAATCACAATATGATGCCAAAGACTGGCACTAATGCAATGCACATGGTACCAATTAGGGTAGAACCCTTTTTGCAATAACGTCAATTAGGGCAATCAACTTCGCTCGCCAATACAGGCATTCACTCGTCAATACATGCCTTCGTTTTATGAATGCGAGAGACACTATCATGCAATAATATACTTCACATTTATTGTTAATACTCATCACAATATCACTAATATAGTCCTTCGTCATCTCCTTCGTCATGTAACTCGTATCACACAATCAAAACAATCAACGCAAATAACCACAATATAATTCATGGCATACAAATCAAAACACACTTACGAATCAGTAGCAATGTTGATGAAATAATTAACTATGGTATTATAAATCACTTTCATAAAATAGGAAATTATTTTAGATTTCCAATGGTCCAAACGACGCGTCAAATTGACACCTGAAACAAAAGTTATGGATTTTAGAAGTTTTCAAAAAAAATGTTGTCAGTAGCAGTGGTAACCGGTTACCCAGTTATGGGAACCAGTTACCGCAAGACAATAGCCTCGTTGCTTTTCAAAATTCATCGCGGTAACCGGTTATCCACTTATAGGAATTGATTACCGTAGGACAGTAGCTAAACCTCGTTTCAACCATTGATATGGTAATCGGGTTACCATATTCGGGTAACCGATTATCCTGTGATAACAATGGAAAATTATGCAACATTCAGGTTACGACCTTCCACGTTTTAACACCCAAAATTTATAATTTTCACATCAAATTTCATGTTTTTAATAGGTTAATTATTCATCAATATTCATCTACCAATTCATACCATTTAATCACATCAAAAACACACCAAATTCATCAAAAATCCATCAACGAGAACAACCCCCAAAAACAATCAAATATGGAGAAATCAAAACATACGATTATACAAGCTAAGTTCTACCATACTCCATCATTAGGAAAATCCTTATAGAGTTAGAATTCGCCCTTACCTTAGGTTCTTGGTTGATTCTTGATTCCTACATATGGAACTTCTTGCCCTAGCTTCCTAATGCTCTTTCTACTATTCTCTCTTCTACACTTCTCTTTCTTCGTTTCTATGTACTGACTCTTTTTCCTTATTCTTACTCTAATATATCCCAATAATTAAGCATAACCTTAGTCTTCCCAATTAAATAATTGTTTAATTATTATTAAAAAAAAATAATTATCCTAATATTATAATAATAATAATAATCCATATTATTCTACACACCCCTACGTTTCTACACAATTAGCCAAGCACCCTCATAACCTCGATTTATATAATTCTAAGGCATCTAGTCCCCAACAAGGTATCATAACACATCATGAATTCCACCAACTCGTATAATTTCATCGCATCGTCTTATTATTTAATTAAAAATAAATTTTAATTATATCGGGGTGTTACAGTCGGTAGTACATCAACTCTCTATGCTGCTTTAAATTTGTCATCGAGACTGAACCTTCATATCTTTGTCCTCCGCTGCAGACGGTTCCTCCGTCTTACTCCATTTGCGGTAATCTCGCTGCCACAGTGGAGGAATTTCGGTCGTTTCCATCTTTTGATTCTGGTCTCAATCTCAACAATTCCACCCATCGCCTCCTCACTATATACATACTCCACCACCGAAAATGGCGGAATCCTAAACGAACTTACTTTCTTACGAGATGGAAGACCAAGACGAAGATCCGCAATCTAGAAACGTTAAGGTAATCTCTTGAATTTTCTTTGATTTTTCTTAACAGTTGTCGTGAACTGTGAATTCTTGATTTGCGGTTTGTGATTTGTTATAGGTTTAATGGAGCTGAGATTAAGGTGTGTGAAGTTGATGTTCTATAATGTGAGAACTTGATATTGTAAAGGATGAAGATGATGCTGCTGCGGATGTTGGAGATCCAAGTGCAGTGATTCAGTTCTTGAGAATTTATTAGAGTTTGAAGAATGCTGAAGGTTTAGGTGATTTTAGAGAGAGGTAGGATTGGAGTTTTTTTCTTAGCTTTTGTGAAAATGGATCGTACATGATGAAGAGGGAGCATATAGAAAGCAGAGAAAGTTTAAAGCTCTTAGATTTATTTGGTGATTGAAGAATGATTCATTCAGGTGAGAATTTCTATTATATGTGTTGTGAAAGTTTGTTAGAGATTATAAAATCTCAGCCTTTGATTTGGAAATTTTGTTATGCAATTGATGGTGAGGATGAAAGCAGTTAGTTAGTTAGAAATGTGTTATGTCTGTTAGTGAATTCGGTTATGGTTATACTTAGTTGTAAATGAATGAATGTTTTGAATTCTGATTATTTCCTATAATTTTTCTACTGTTATTTGAAGTAATACATGAACGGTTTATATCATGACATGGTGACAAAGTTTTTCACGATTCGAACCTTTCCTCTTTATGTTTATGATTTTAAATTGGAGGCATGGTTTTAAATTAATTTTCGGTTTTCTTCCTTCTAATTTGAATTCTGACTTAATGAAAACTTTCTTTTTCTGATATATAACTTCTGATTTTCTGAATGGCATTGGCTGTACTAGTTTTCTATTATGGAATCGAGTGAAACTGGTTCTTTTTTTGTGATCTTCTTCTGGTTTTTTTTCGAGACTGGTGCAACGCGGTTTCTTCATGATTGCAGGGTTGTTTGACAACAAGGGTTTGGTTATGTGAACCGGTGGACTGTATTGGTTCGACTAAGAATGTGTGTGCAAGGCTACTTCAGATTTAGAAGCATGGCATGACTATTTTTGACAAAGCAATGTTGCTGATGCTGTAAAGCGGCAAGAAAAAGTAAGTATTTATTTAGTTTTATCATATCATCTC